ATGCTCATGCAACTAGTGGCCAGTGAAGATAATGGGAAAATTCATTGCTGTTCCCTTTCATAATATGCTTTCACACAAAGACGAAATCGCCTAATGACGCATTTCTCAGAATTTATCTCCATTCTTAAGTGACGTGTGACCACATGGCCATATATACACATACACAAACACACACACATATAAATAAGAGAGTTAAATTTGGAAGTACTGCTGTATAGCCCACACAGGTGGGACTTTATGTAGAGAGAAATCTTCATTTAGAAACATTTTATTTACTGCCTAGTATGTTCTACCTTTCTCCTAGATACTGTGGATAAAAAATATTCCTAAAACAAGGTCTCTACCCTTGAAAGGGCTCATATTGAGTGCAAGAAACTACTGTGTTGAGATGTTTACAATGAAGAGACATGGCCAGCAAAGTCATTCATTGCTCCTAAGATAGAGAAGTCTTCACAAATGAAGTAGTACTAGTTGAGTAGTCTTGGAATATAAGCAGGGATTTATTTACCTGATAGAAAAAAAGGAGCAAGAAGGAGGAGGTCTAGACAGAGACAACAACTTCTGCAAAAGCACAGTGGTGCGAAACTGCCTGGTGCACTCCAGCCATTGTAATCAGACGGTGCACAGCAGGAGGCAGCTTGGAAAGGTAGACTCAGCTCAGGAAGGGCCTTGTATGCAAAATCAAGATATTTGTCCACTTCCAGAAGATGATAGGAGCCTTTGCAATGGAAATTTCGAATGGATTCTAATTATCATGAAAAAATTAAACATTTGAAAAATAATGTCAATCTGAAGAGGTTAAATTAACTGCAGTTGTTTAGAGAACAGAAGGGAAATTTCACTCTGTGAGAGGTTGTTGTACAGAGGATAGTGACCAGTTATTTTCAGTTCCCACTGAGGACAAAGCAAGAAGAAATAGGCATAAATCTCAGCAGAAGGGAAAATTACCTACAGAAGCGGTCCTTCATAGAAAGATTGAGTGTGACTGACATAGATCATTCAAATGTTGTCTTAGGCTCTCTGGCCGTGTGCTAGTTTCTGTGTACTCAAACAGCCCAATTTCAAAGACATGGCAAGACTGAAAATTTTTCAGGCTTGAATGAGGGTATTTGGAATAAAGAAATATTTTGTGTGTCAATTAGTTATTCAGATATTTTGTTATCTGCCTAACTAAAGTTTTGTAAATGTATTTGAACAAGTAAAATATAGATATTATTGTCTTTCGTAATATAGCATTAGTATTTATTAGAAAAAAGGAGAAATGATCAGATTAGCTATAGAAATAGGTGTTGTCCTATTAAAGGTATTTTGTATTCATGTACAATTTCAGAGAGTTATTAAAGATTAGGTAGCTAGAATTAATTTAAATTCAGTTATTAATCTTTATGTATAACATTTATTGGTCAGGTGATTACAATTAAAATCGCTATATGGTTTATTAACTGATGGTCCTTTGTCAGTTAATACAGTGACTCACTATCTTATTATGACTTAGCTTATTGAGACGATATAAAACTTTTGTAGCTTTTTAAAATATTCCAATTTTTGGAACTGCTGTTTGTGTTTTTATTGTTCGAAGACACATACAAGACAGAGGATTGTAGAGAGGCCATTTTGTTCATCCTTTTGCATTTTATAAAAAGAAGTGATAGATCTGTCACATGGCCCTGCCTCTCTGAGGCTGGTGAGAGGAAGAGCAGGAAACATAGGCAGGGATGCAAAAGGGCACTCTGCTTCTGGCTAGAGCAAACCTGGAAGTGCTTACAGGTTTGCTCCTGTAACCACCACTGACACTTAGGCAATCTGAGCAAGTGTTATTTGGATATTTGATAGTAATGCAAAATTTTAACATGATTTCAAGTTAACCAGATATCAAATGGAAATTTTTTTTTTCTTAATAAACTAACCCAAACACTTTAGAGGTGATTTTGTATGTACTCAGATTTGATTACTTTTGTTCAACCTCAAGAGATGTATATATCCAAACAGTACATTTATAAAAGCAAATTATTGGATAAATGTCATTAATCAGAAGAATTGATGAAAGCGAATGTTCTTAGTTCCCTTCTGTGCTGACACTGAACGACACAATAGGGCCTGAGAGAGACAGTGGCTGATATGGTGAATAGTGTAGACTTGGTAAGAGAGACTGAAGACATGATAATACAAAGTAGATACACTTCAACAAGTGATAATTCTTTTCCACTGTATTTTAATATTATACATTTATTTTAAAATAATTGGTCTAAGGGTCATACACATCAAGAAAGATTAAAAAGACCACCTATTCGTCATGATTCCCTGCCAGTTTGAAACATTAAAATGGACTAGGTGTGTGAGGTTTTTTAAAAAATAAATGCTGCAATAGAGATTAAGCAGTTTATCTTCCAGACCAACTAAGATATTTCTCAGCTTGACAAGGCAGGTGCTTAGCCATGTTTGTCCATGCTTTGAAGGGGATATTTTAATTCTAAAAAAACACATATATGTACTCTGTCTACAGGTCTTTCTGATTTCATCAAAGATGCTAAAATATTTATTTAACTGAAATGTTATGCCTTACCTTTTTAAAATGTAGCCATTGACTCAATAAAATTTTGTAACAGAAATTAAATTGTTAGGCCAGCCCGGTGGCGCACTGCTACAGTGCGCCGCTTGGGAGCGTGGCGGCGCTCCCGCCGAGGGTTCGGATCCCACATACAGACCGGTTCCCGCTCACTGGCTGAGCGGGGTGCGGGTGCAGCACCGAGGTTTGCGATCCTGTTGCCGGTCCCGGTCAGGTACGGGCGCGACACTGAGGGTTGTGATCCGTTGCCGGACACGAAAAAAGACAAAAAAAGGAAAAAAAAAAAAAAAAGAAATTAAATTGTTAATGGATCTGATGCTGAATAAATATTTATTAATAAAAAGAATTTCTGAAAAATAAATGCTTATCAGTAAGCATTGCCAAAAGCTGAAATTTTTTAATGCAAAACAATGTAATACCTGTGAGAAAGAAAAAGAACATTAGCCATAAAATTGACATATAAGCACAGTGTTATTTTTCTATTTCTGTTTACTTTCCAGTGTTAGCCATGTGCATTTTTAAAAAACTATAATATACTTGTACAATTTGATGTCTGAAAAACTAGGTGGGTTTTTGTTGTTTTGTATCATGTTCTTTGTTTTGTTTTTTCAATTTTTGTTTTTGTCATCATAGAATTCATAAAATACGGATCAATTTCCTTTCCTTTAGGAAGATGTATCTGCAATTTTCCCTAAGTACCTAATGTTTTTAGGAATTTAGGATTTAGGAGGTTAGTTAATTTGTAAGAAAAAAAAATTAATTTCCTAATTATTTGGAATGTCCAGCATACTCTCCAAATGTTGCACTTTGTGAACGTGTGACAGTAATCCCAGGTAAAGACCTCACTTTAGGAACTTGAGCCTCCCATTGATTCCTCTACAGCTGCTAGCCTTGCTTAAGACAGATTACCATTGAGGTTTGTGTTGTTTTTTGTTCTTATAGCTTGTCCTTGAATTGTGTCACCTTGCAGTGCTTAAAAGTGGTTAGTGTATGAGCATGATAATGCAAAATTGTAAATATTTTACCTGTGTGGGATAAGGTAATCCCGGAATTTTTCTTTTTAATTGAAATATAATTCATTTTACATATTTGTGGGGTACAGAGTTGCATATCAATACCTGTGTACAATGTGTGATGATCAAATCAGGATAATTAGCATATTACAGAACATATAATCATTCTTTGTGTCTATTAGCCAATTTCTCACTAACCTCCCAGCCCCTCCCTTTTTCCCACCTCCAGTAACCACAGTTCATGATCTATTCCAAAAATTCTAAAAGTATGACTACTTGAACTATCAATATCATGCCTCCTGTTTTGGTTTTGTTTTTGTTTTTGGAGCTCTGAGACTAATACTTCGTTTAGGTTGTTCACATTATTAGGATGCAAACAGTTGTTAAAAGCTGTAGAACAAAACAGATTCAATATGGGCCTGATTTATTAAATGCTATATTTTTTTCTTGCTTAGTCACTAAAACAATAAGGATTAATTTACTCTTTAATTACCTAAATATCCTCTGCAGCCTTTTCATAAACCTGTTTGTGAAGAATATTCATTTTTTCTAAACAGAGTAATCCGTAAAGCTAAAAACCCTGAATCAGTATGAACATCAGTGGACAAACCCATCATCTAAGGATTATAGAATTAAAACATCCAGTAGAATGAAAAATACTTTATACTTGATGCTGTATTTATGCTTTGTTTCTGAGTAAATCCTTGATTGAATTTGCAGCTTAGTCTTGTGTGAGAGTTATATTAAAGAAAACACTAGGTTTTCGTCATATATTTTCTGTGTCCTATACTTTAAAGATTTTTATCATTCTAACTGTAGCATCTCTTTTCTAGTGTCTCTGAAAAGGAAATACAATATATAAGCAAACAAAATTTTTCATATTATCACAGTTGTGTGGTCAGATTCCTTTTATAACTCATGATAAGAACAACCTTGAGAATTCTTTTCTGATGGCCCGTGCAAGGGTAAAATGTGCTTACTCTTTTACATTAATCTACATCAGTGATGGGTAGAAATAAATATTGCCTCACAAATGAATCCAGCTTTCCAGCATATGTTTTTGTGATAAAGCAAAGAACAGAATGCTGATAATCATAAGCACACATTGACATGAAAAGAATAATTCAGTTTGCCATAATGATTCAGACATTTTTGAAAATATAGTTTAAGGTTTAATTTGGCACTTTTATTGGTCATTTGTCTCACTTTTAAAATGTGGAGCTCATTTTAAATTCCAGAGCATTGCTACTAGGCTCCATTAAGAACCTACTCCAAACATGTTTTTTTTAAAACTTTAAATGAGTTATAGTGAATTGAATTCATTTATTCAATTGTCTGACTTGTTTAAGAAAAAAGTCTGTATAGTACTTAAGTTACTAAAAAAAATTACTAAAGAATGTGTTGCTGTTGTTTCTTTCCAGATCAGAGATACTAAATCAGCAGATCAGAAAACAACCCTTTTGCATTTTATTGCTGAAATTTGTGAGGAAAAATACAGGGATATCCTGAAATTTCCTGAAGAACTGGAACATGTAGAAAGTGCAAGCAAAGGTAATTGATTTGTAACTGCTTTGAGAGACTATTCCTTGCCTATATATTCTATTTGAAATGGTAAGATTAAAGAATCTCTAAACATTATTAATCATAAAAGCAGTTTTTGTTTGTTTAGTGATATAAGAAAGGCAGGAAGATAGTTTCCATTAGCTTATATTTGTCAGTGTAGTTTTCATAACCTGTTTTTGTCTTCATTTTTTAACTGCTACGTTATTGATTGTTTCATATCTCTGATCAGACAATATGTTCATTTTTTTACTTGATAAACATTTATGTGTATATTGTTTGCAAAGGAACCATGCTATGGGGCTTTTGGTGATATCAAAACGATTGTAAGACAGTTCTTGCTTCAGTGTGTTTAAAATCTAGAAGGTGAGAACACACACACACACACACACACACACACACACACACACACACCCTCTTATAAAACAAGGATGAATGTGAGGAGTGCTGCATGAAACAATAATGTCCTGTAGTTAAATGAGGGAGAAAGTACTTTTGAATGGTCGACAAGAGAAGACTTCCTGAAAGAGGCCAAAGGGTGAAATATGAGGATAGGATTTTGCAGATATGGAAGAGGTCTTGCTTGCCAGAGAGAAAACAGCATGAGCAAGGCACAGTGGCAATGTTTTAGGACAGGTGAAAGGGAGAGTTGGCTATAAGGCTGGAGTAGTAAGGTAGCATCTCAGATATCTTGATGTCAGGCTAAGGAGTCTAGTCTTGATGTTGTTGGAAATAAGGCATCAATGAACGGATACAATGAGCAAGATTTGGCACCATTGAGGAATAGAAAAGAGGAAACAAAAATGCCTCCAAGATTTTAAGTCACAGTAATTAGCTTAGTCAGTTAATTGGCATTGTTTACTCTTGCAAAAGGTTGAAAAGTGAAAGAATGGAGTAAGAATCAAAGAAACATTTTCTGAAGGTGAGATTATATATGTGGAGAATTACATTTTCCCTTTTAGGTAAGAGAAGTGTGCCATAAATCTTATATTTGAAATTTCACTGTAGTAATTCCATTCTCTAACTCTGAGGACTATCAGTAAGAACTTGAAAGCATGTATGTTTCCTAAGTTTATTACAAACCATATAAAACTGTTAGTGTTCTTTGAACGAAAAAAAAAGTGAGTCCATAAAACCCAGAGTATTGTTTGTGTAACATTGTGCAATGGTCATTTCTGCTAGTCTAGAATCGTCAATCAAATCCTCAACATATTTCTTTAATTTTATCCAGTGTGTCTCATTTTGTGGTCCAAGGGCCAGAATAACACTAGAAGATAAACGATGGTGCCATAGTACTATTTATTTTCTTTCTTTGTTTTAAGAAAACTTTTTAATATGATGGAAAATCACACTCACTACAACTGTAATAACAGCTTTCTATCAATTGCTTTTCTAAGGATCTTCCGTATCTTGGCCCTTGGATTTAAAATATACCATTGTGACTAGAAGCATATTTACTAACTTGTGACTAATATAATATAATAGCGACATTTAGAACATTTGTATTATTATTTGAAATATATGTAAAATGCCACAAATTAGACCAGTTCTAAAATTAGATCATTTTGGTGCTGTTATTACTTTTCTATTGTCCTCTACCAGAATTGTTTTCTAAATTTTGTTTGTTCAATATGTAGAATCAATTTTTAAAAGATTTTGGAAGGAAGTATATTAAGAATATATTTAAATAAAATGTATTGTCAATTTTACAATGATGACTTTTAATTCTTATGTTGAGGATACTTTATATGAATATATCTGATAAATATATATTTCTAGTAAAAATAATCTGGAGTGACTGAAATGAAATCTGGAATGAAGCCTGCATTAGCTTTGATTTTTAAGACTAAATCCCTGTTGATATATATATATATCTGTGTGTATCTATATAGATGTTATATATAACTTTCAGTATTTAACTATATACAAGGTGTCTTCAAAAAGTTTATGGAAAGATTCATGTTATCTTTTAATTTTGTTTTTCCGTGAGCTTTTTGAAGTACTCTCATATATAAGAATATTTGTATGTATATTGTTTATATAGCAAAAAACTCATAGAGCTGATAAATGAATTCAGTAAAGTTTCAGGATACAAAGTCAAAGTACAAAAATGAGTAGCATTTTTATACCCCAACAACAAACTAATAGAAAAATAAATTAAGAAAGCAAACCCATTTACAATAGCTACCAAAAAAATAAAATACATAGGAATAAATTTAATCAAGGAGGTGAAATATCTCTGCAATGAGAACTATAAATCACTGATGAAAGACATTAAAGAGGACACAAAAAGATGGAAAGACATTCCATTTTCATGGATTGGAAGAATTAACATTGTGAAAATATCCATATTACTCAAAGCAATCTACAGATTCAGTGCAATCCCTATCAAAATACCAATGACATTCTTCACAGAAATAGAAAAAACAATCCTAAAATTCATATGGAACAACAAAATACTCTGAATAGCCAAAGCAATCGTGAGCAGAAAGAACAAAATGAGAGGCATAACACTCCCTGACTTCAAATTTTACGACAAAGCCATAGTAACCAAAACAGCATGGTACTGGCATAAAAACAGACACAGAGACCAATGGAACAAAATAGAGAATCTGGAAATCAGTCCACGTACTTACAGCCAGTTGATCATCAACAAAGGCACCAAGAACATACACTGGGGAAAGAGCAGCCTCTTCAGAGAATGGTGCTAGGAAAACTGGATATCCATGTGCAGAAGAATGAAATTAGACCCAGACATCTTTCTGTGTACTGAAATCAACTCAAAATGGATTACAGACTTAAATATAAGACCTGAACTTTAAAATCCCTAGAAGAAAACATAGGGGAAACACTTTAGGATGTAAGACTGGGCAAAAACTTTATGAATAAGACCCTGAAAGCACAGGCAGCAAAAGGAAAAATAAACAAATAGTATTATATTAAACTGAAAAGCTTCTGCACAGCAAAAGAAACAATTAACAAAGTGAAAAGACAACCTATAGAGTGGGAGAAAATATTTGCAAACTATACATCCAACGGGATTAATATAAAAAATATACAAGGAACTCAAACAACAGTAAAAAAAAAAAAAAGTCTAATTTAAAGGAGCTGAATAGACATTTCTTAATAGAAGATATACAAATAGCCAACAGGTACATGAAAAAAAGCTTAACATCACTAATCATCAGGGAAATACAAACCAAAACCACATTGAGACATCATCACATCCCAGTTAGACTGGCTATTATCAGAAAGACAGAGAATAACAAATGCTGGCAAGGATGTGGAGTAAAGTGCAGCCATTATGGAAAACAGTATGGAGGTTCCTCAAACAACTACAGATAGAACTACCATATGATCCAGCAGTTCCACTACTGGGGATATACCCAAAGGAATGGAAATCATCATGTCAAAGGGATACCTGCACTCCCACATTGCAGCTCTATTTACAACCTAAATGTCCATTGTTGGATAACTGGATAAGGGAAATGTGGTATATATACACCATGGAATACTACTCTGCCATAAAAAAAGAATGAAATTCTCCCATTTGCAGCAACATAGATGAGCTTGGAGAAAATTATGTTAAGTGATATAAGCCAGGCATGGAAAGAGAAATACCACATGTCCTCACTCTTAATTGGGAGCTAAAAAATAAATAAATAAATTTTAAAAAGAAAGAAAGAAACAGTAATCACAATAATATGTTGAACTTTCAGAAGGAGAGAACAGAACTGTGGTTACTAGAGCTGAGAAAGGGGGAGGTGGAGGGGGTTAGTGAGAAATTGGTGAATGGACAGAAGGAATGTTTACATTTTGTAATGATGAACATGTTAATTATCCTGATTTGATCATCACACATTGTACACAGGTATTGATATTCAACTTTGTATCCCACAAATATGTATAATCAATTATGTTTTAAAAAAAAAGACAAACACAAAATTTTAAATAGATTTTTATTAAACTTAGCTATCAAAAAGTAAAACAAAAATTGTTTAAATTAAAAATAAGTCAAATATTTTAGAAAAGCAAAATAGTGTTTATATATATGTTTTATGTAATTATGTGTGGAGAGACATTAAATCATATCATATACTTTTAGCCACTATTGCTACTGACCATGGTAGATGATAGAGCACAGCCTTTTGAGTTAGATGTCATAATTTTCTTATTCAAACTCTACTACTTAATAGTGCTGTGACCTTGAACTAGTAATTTAAACTACAAAATTTTGTTTCCTCATCTGTAAGATAGAAATGATAGTAACAATAAGATTAAATAAGTTAACATATTCAAACTATTCAGTAAAATGCTTGACACACAGTAAGTATGCAGCTGTTGCCATACCACTGCTGTAGTAGTAATAATACTACTAGTAGTAGTAATAATTGATGTACTACTACGAGTGTTATAGTTGTTTTTATGATCTTATTAGAAGGGAATAATCATAAGGCTATCTTAGAGTTCTTCCAGTCTCAGATAAGTGTGTTTTATATTCAGTTCTAATTTTGTCTCCTATACCTGGGCTTTTGGTAAAACTTTTCATATTTTTCTTTTATAGTATCACCAACTTCTTTCTCCCTATCCATTTCAAGAGCAGAATATCTGTTGTATTTTGATTGTTTCTGCTTTTGTGTATTCTTCCTGCCAGTGTATTCAAAAGATTGTTGCTGAAAATCCTCTTCCTATCTCACTGTTTTGGCCATAGCAATCTCCGTTCTCAAGTTATTTTGACTTGTTCTTTTTTTTTTCCCTATGAAATTCAAATTCAGAGTTCTCAACTCAAAAAATTCTTAAGTATATTCCGCCTGCTTGCATCCCTCTTTCATTTCCTCCTAGTTCTCATTTCAGTGTACCCAGACCTATATTCTCTGGAGCCATTTTTATTCCTTTGTAATAATCCTGTCTCTGTGTATGATTTCATGCTGCATCCCCTGCCTGGAAATCTTACCTGCCCTGTCCTCTAAGACAACTAACTATCATTTGTC